TGTTATTAAATAACTTTTTTTATATAGCTTAAGTAATGACAAGTGATGTAAATGGTCGTTACGTTGAGCTATTCCTGTAAATAAACGCTAACGTCTTAGTACAACAGTAATGGCGTTTTAGAATTATTTAAATTAAAATATCTCCTGAACTACTAATTTTTCGACGTTACACAGTTAGTACTTTTTTATAACGATTGTCCAGCTGAATCGATCGCTGTATTAAAAAATACCTCGTTCCATTTAAAAAAACAAAGTTAACCTTTATATGACCTTTACGCGTCCACTCACGAAAAAACTAATAACATCAGAATATGCTCCACTCGATGCCACTCAAGCCTCCGCTGAAACATTTTTTGTTACGAGTAACAATAGCGAGAAAATCAAGATTTCAAAATCGGGTGAGACACCCTGTATACTTGATATGTTTATTCGCCTCTCTGTAAACTGGTGCTAATAATCTGACAGGGGGGGTTACAGCGTAATAAATAAATAAATCAAACGTTTTTTTATTGGTCCATCGGTTTTATTGTGGAACCAGAGAAGAAGCTGACGCGCGCGCATAACAGATTTTACGGTCGTCGTCGTACATGCAAAGGTGTCGAACCATCTGTTGCCCCTGACCACCCCAATCCACATGGTTGGGTGGAAAATTTTGCATTCTTCGCGGCGCAGACATCGTTCCGCGATTATGGTTCCCGCAGCTCGATCGTAAACGCGCGAACGACTCAATTGGCGGCTTTCATGGCCGATCAAGGGGAGGTTTCTCGCGTGATAACGTTAAAATTAAAGTTTCCTGTTTGATCATTCATTCTTCGAAACGCTACAGTTTTTAAAAATTTTTCGTATTTTTTGTTTAAAATACAATTCATTTCCGCAATTTACTTGACCATCCATTAGGGGATACAAAGTAAATTTTTCAATAATTTTTATTGACTTTTCGTGTTTTTATTACGCCCACGGCAAATATGTGTTTATTAAACACTGGCGTGGGTGATTGCTGCTTCCACGGTTGACCAAATAAAAAAAAAATCAAACAAATTTTCATTTTCATTCGGTTTCATTTAAAGTCTGCAAGAAACGTTGGAATTTCGACTTTTAAAAACAGCTGATGTCTCTTGACAGGGGTGTAGAAAAAATGTTCTATAATCCACGATAATTGACATTTATTTCTCAAAATTTAACAGTACATTCTTAAATATATGTACATTTAAGAAAATGCAATAAAAAAAAATTGATTTTTTTGCTGATTGATTTAAGCCGATTTTCAAGAATTATTTCGAAGGATAAAGAATTAATAAATATTTGCAAGGTTTTGAGGACTATTTAGAATATACTTCAATTTCATTTTGCAATTTTTTTTGTTCAAATGAAATACAAAATGGCGGAGATACAGCATGATTTGCTAGAAGCTTTGCAAGATTAAGCTTTTTGCTCCGAGGTCTGCCATTTTTCCAATTTTTAATTTTCTTTCAATATCTTCGGTTCATCCATTTACTATTGTTATATACTAATCATAATGCTTAGCAGATTCGCATAATAAAAACCGACACTAGAGTGTACACCGTTTTAGAAGACGTCTTGCAAAGCTTCTAGCAAATCATGCTGTATCTCCGCCATTTTGCATCCCATTTGAACAAAAAAAATTGCAAAATGAAATTGAAGTATATTCTAAGCAGACCTCAAAACCTTACAAATATTTATTAATTCTTTATCCTTCGAAATAATTCTTGAAAATCGGCTTAATTTCGGATTTCTACATAGAGGTCCCCCCTTAAAGCCTGCAAGAAACGTTAGAATTTCGACTTTTAAAAACAGCAGATGTCTCTTGACAGAGCTCTACAAAAATACACATTTCAAAAAATTATATATAAAATTATATTCAAAAAGTATATTTGCAATATACATTTCAAAAAATGAAATAAAAAAAAAATTGATTTTTTTGTAGTCTCACATGAGACTGCCCCCCTTAAACGTGTCGAAATCCGTAAAGAAACGGACGCGGGCCGTTAGCCTGGTCCGAGCGCGCCCCGCGACCGGAAACGGCTCGAGCCGCGCGAGGGAACGCGATCAGAAGTCGCGCGGCGAGCGTAAAATCGCGCGAGCTCGTGGGCGACGCTTCAAACAGGACTGTCGGAGGCGTAGGAAAAAAAAAAAAGGGGTGAGTTTTCATCTGGAAGGTGAAAGGGGAACGAGACGCGGGGACAAAGGGGGACGGGTGAAGCCATCTGACGCGACCGAGAAAAACAAAGACGCGCATTGAAAAGTGTGCCCCGGCGGATGGCGGCGGACGTATCCGTGCGCCCGTTTACACGCCGACCCCGGCGACTTATTTGGTTCGGTGTAGATGAGAGAAAAAGAGTATACGCGACTGATCCCGACTAAGATTATAAAATGGCGACCCTCAACCCTCCTCCCGATGCGGCTGTTCTTAATTTCGCTCGGATCCTTTTGTCCCCCACCCCCACGCCCCCTACGCAGTTTCACCGCTTCTTCTGTCGTCTTCTTCCATTTTTAACCCCGGTGTTCTTTCGTCCTCTTTGCCTTTCCGCGACGCTTGCTTTCGCAATCGGCACCCCGGCTCACCCAGACGTCGCCAAAGGAACAAACGAAGGGAAACAGATATACCTACCATCGTAGCCGTTCGAGACTTTGGGCTCTCAACAATACTGATCAGTCTCGCTGATCAGTCTCGCTATCGGTTATCGAATTTTAAAGATAACAGGCGACTCTGAACTTCCTCTAGATCCTAGATCCGAAAGTGCTTTGGTTGCTGAAAAAAATAGAGGTCCAATGCACCCAGTTCTCACGACCCCCCGAAATCGGTTACGAAACGCTCGAAAAGCCTATAGTTCGCACATGGCCAGGGTCAGGGATCGCCTCCATCTTTTTGGAAGCTTCACTCTCGTCTTCGAAGCGCATCATCGTCTGCACCCTTAACGCCGAGGATCACCGAGCCGGGAGAGTCTCGATCGCCATATTGGAGGCGGACGGTCCTCCCTCCAATCGGCGCGCGTGCCTCTGATGCGTGGGTGCGGACCGCGCCCAATAGACTGGACGCCTGCCCCACCGCGCAGCCGCCACACCCACGAGTGTCACGTGCGCACGAGCAGCTGCAACGCCGTCCGAGCAGTCGCTCGCGAACCCTCGCTGCGGACGCATCGATCGGTCGTTCGCTCGCCGTAACCTCGATTCACATTTGCAATAATCGTCTCCGTTAGCTTCGATCGGTGCACGTGTTGTTCGAAGCTGTCCATCGACGACGGAACAAGATCGAAGGACTCGTGGGAATCGTTTTACTTGAAATTGGTCGCTGGATGACCGAGTTCGACGTCGATTCTGGAGCTAGATTCGATGGAATCGCAGGATCTGGGAAGCTTGAGGCCCGTGAGAAAGAAATGAGGAAGAGCGAGAGATGGAAATTAACCAACACCGTGAATTGTTAGGAAACGTGCAAAGTTTGATGGCAACGGACTCCTAGCGGTCTGAGAGGACTCTGAACGAACCCGAAGTAATATCAAAGTGACCGTTCGTTCGATGGGGCGGAAGTTGTGTTTACGATGAGACGCGTCTGAATCGGATCGAAAAGCTCGACAATGACTATGATAAGCTTGGAAATGCTGGGCCGCGAGGCTCTGCCTCTGGAAGGGATGTACCGTCGCGCTCGTCAAAATGTCTTGACGCCTCCGCACGACAGTCCAGAGTCACAGAACGTCCGACGGAACGGTAGTAACGCCGGTAGCGCGGCCAACATAGTTGGCTTCGACGACACTCCGCGCAACGAGATGCACCCACTGGATCAGCCGGCCGTGGAACTCGGTCTGCCGACGCATATCCCAGAGATACTCTATTGTAAGTGAGTCGCGTCGATCTTGTTGCGTTCGAACGACGTGATAAGTCGGGCGACAGGTGTATCCGGCTTGTTCGAAGTTGTTGATCGAGAAACGTGATGATTCGCGGCTAGGAAGCTAGGAAGGCGTCGATGAAATGACTGGGGTCCCATAGGGTAGTTGAATTATGCCCGTCGAACGATGCTTGAGAAATATTTATGAACAATTCATTTTTGCAACATTCATTTATGGGTGCTTGTATCAGTCATGGAAATCGTTTATGAAAATATAGCAGGTGCAAGTTATTCGCAATGGAACTTTGTCTTCGAGATATTTTTATTTAAAGTTTGGTACACACGTGATAGGAGAATTAATTAAATTTGTTTTATAGAACGGGATGTGGTGAAGTCGGTAGAGCGATTAGCTACGAATCTTTTTGGTAGTGGGTTCGAATCCCCATCAAGTTACTTTTTTATTTTATTATATTAAAATGTAAAAATATATTTATTGTTTATACATAGCATACAGTAGTAAAATAACATTATATGTCGCATTTATTTTTCTATGTTAATTAGCTGTATTAGCCATTCGTAACGGTCAATATCGACGGTTATGATTTTCAAGAATTTGGTAATACTGATACAGAATTTACTTGATAACTATTATGATACGAATGTAATGTTATCTTACTATTGTACTTACCATTGCATTTCAATATAATGAAAAAAAAAAAGTAATTCGGCGGGGATTCGAACTCGGTACCAAAAGATTCGTAGCTAATCGCTCTACCCACTGAACCAAATCTTCTCCCACGAAATAAGTTTAAGTAATTTTTCTATCACGCTTACACCAAACTTTAAATAAAAATATCTCGAAAACGAAGGCCCATTATGAAAAAATCTATTAAGATATTTTGATACCCCAGGTATATACTATAACTTGAACCTGCTTTAAAGTCTTTTCAAAAGCAATTTCCACAACCGTAAAATCCCCTCGACAGTGATTATGAAAATGGTTCTAAGTAGATTATCAGTATTTTTTTTTTAACAAAACACAAGCCTAATTAAATTAAATGATTCCAATTCTAATCGAATAGTATCCGTGTCCCCAGAGTTTGTGTCCGTTTTTCTAAATTTTAATTATCACTGTACGATGTTCTTTCGAATGTTGCAGCCTCGATACCGAAGTGTGGCGGTTGTCAAGAAGCAATTTTGGACAAATACGTGCTGAGGGTCCTCGAGATGTGCTGGCACGCGAGATGTCTCACGTGCCGGGACTGCGGCGCAAGGTTGACCAACAAGTGTTTCGCGAAGAACGGCCATGTTTTCTGCAAGGACGACTTCTACAAGTAAGTACCAATACTTAATTCCATTCCCCTGAATCGTTCATCCATGCTTGTTGCAGCGTCGCCTCGTTAATTGTCGCGAGTCTTCCCTCTACAGTTGCGTATCCCCACTCGACTGCATCCCACTCTCGCTGTTTCTTACTCCTTAACTGTGTCACGCTCTCGCCTGGCAAACGCAGATATTTAACAGTTATTCGATATTAGATAATTTTCTATACGGGTCATTCCATGCGAAGTCGGACACCTTTCGGAGTACTATGTCGGATTTTGTTCTAATTTGAATATGTTGTAGTCTTTAGTGATATACAGGGTGTCTCACCCGATTTTGACATCTTGATTTTCTCGCTATTGTTACTCGTAACAAAAAATGTTTCAGCGGAGGCTTGAGTGGCATCGAGTGGAGCATATTCTGATGTTATTAGTTTTTTCGTGAGTGGACGCGTAAAGGTCATATAAAGGTCAACTTTGTTTTTTTAAATGGAATGAGGTATTTTTTAATACATCAATCGATTCAGCTGGACAATCGTTATAAAAAAGTACTAACTATGTAACGTCGAAAAATTAGTAGTTCACGGGATATTTCAATTTAAATCATTCTAAAACACCATTACTGTTGTACTAGTCTAACGTTGGTAAACAGAGCCAACGTCTTAGTGCGGTAGTAATGATGCCTTAAGAATTTAAATAATTTAAATTGAAATATCTCTTGAACTACTAATTTTTCGACGTTACATAGTTAGTACTTTTTTATAACGATTGTCCAGCTGAATCGATTGATGTATTAAAAAATACCTCATTCCATTTAAAAAAACAAAGTTGACCTTTATATGACCTTTACGCGTCCACTCACGATAAAACTAATAACATCAGAATATGCTCCACTCGATACCATTCAAGCCTCCGCTGAAACATTTTTTGTTACGAGTAACAATAGCGAGAAAATCAAGATGTCAAAATCGGGTGAGACACCCTGTATAAACGTATCTCGAAGGATTTTTAAAAATTTTAAAAATTGTTGGTTTTACATCTGTTTGAAATATAGAGCTCACATTTTTTCAATAAATAATAGCTGCTAAAGTAAGGAAGTTATAAAAATGAAATTTTAGGTACTTGTAGCAGACCTATGGGAGTATCAAATAAAAATTATTTCAATTAAAAAAAAAATTTTTTTAACTATTTATTTTGCAATTGTTTACAACAAATGTCATTTTTGTATAGCGGGGAAATATTTAAAAATCTGAAAAAAATTGGGCATATAGTCCTGTTTGTTCCCTTCACGGACCTAGTTTTAAAAATACGGACACTTTAAAATTGGCCTTATAAAAATTAATTGAATGGAACGCTGCGTCGCGTCGTGGCACGCTGACTCGACCGGCCAAGTCACGCGTGCCTGCAACAGCCAAGCGGCTATACCTGCTATTGTTACACATAGAGTGTTTGACTGCTGGAAGGTGTAACAGTTATTGGACACTCATTCTTTGTAAATGACACTTAGCATTATACACATTTAAGTTGTCAATGTTCAATGGAAACCACGAGAAGGTGATGAGTATTCTTCCATCGGGAGGCGTTATAGGATATGATGGGATGTAATGGGATTTGGTTCGGTTAAGGAATAATGGTTAGATTGTACCAATAATCATCTACCGGATTAAATTGTTTGTTATAAAATTATTTACCTCATAACAGCTACAACTGTTGATTTTTCACTGTCTGAATACATTCGGGCAGTTAAATGCGTTACTTCTTTAGTTGGTGTAAATAAGTGAAAATTGCGTGTTCCACAGATTGTTGTAGCCAGGCCACGTCTTTCCAGCTATTGAAAAAAAGTGAGCTCTATATTTCAAACAGATGTAAAATCAACAATTTTTAACATTTTTAAAAATCCTTCGAGATACGTTTATATATCACTAAAGACTACAACATATTCAAAGTAGAACAAAATCCGACGTGGTACTCCGAAAGGTGTCCGACTCCGCATGGAATGACCCATACCCAAAGATGACCTCAACATTTGTTCAGATTATAGACACATGGAAATGTTCGATAATTAAATGATGAATTATTTTACGATATTCCAAATTAAAATAGCGTTATTTACAATTTAACAAGTGTTAGGGTTCCTCCAAAGCAATATTGCAACATGTCCGTAAGTTCAGAGTGCCGGTCACCGGTGACCACCGTGGCAATCAACGTGTTAGTGAAAACGAAGCAATAATTTAGATAAATGTATTTTACCATTATCCATTACTTTACTAATAAAAATCCAATTTACGATAATATATTTAACACATTATCGATATTTGTTCAAATTATAGAGACAAAGAAATATTCGATAATTAAATGGTAAATTTGTTGTTTCACAACATTCCAAATTAAAGTAGTTAGTTTACTATAGAAAGTAGCGTTATTTACAATTTTACAAGTGTTAGGTTTCTTCCATTACAAACAATAATACACGTTGAAAGTTCAGAGTGCCGGTCACCGGTGACCACCGGTGGCAATCGACGTGTTAATGGAAACGAAGCAATAATTTAGATAAATGTATTTTACCATTATCCATTACTTTACTAATAAAAATCTAATTTACGATAATATATTTAACACATTATCGATATTTGTTCAAATTATAGAGACAAAGAAATATTCGATTATTAAATGGTAAATTTGTTGTTTCACAACATTCCAAATTAAAGTAGTTAGTTTACTATAGAAAATAGTGTTATTTATCATTGTACAAGTATTAGGTTTCTTCCATTGCAAACAATAATGCACGTTGAGAGTTCAGAGTGCCGGTCACCGGTGACCACCGGTAGCAATCAACGTGTTAAACATTTATTTAAAATACTTTTCCATCACGTTACACGCACCACGTGTACGGCGATATTACCTAATCGCATTGACGAGATACAAGCACACTTTTTCTCGAAACATTATCTAAACAGATAGCGCGTAAGTAGGCATAAGACGTTTATCGATAGGTACTTTATCGCTGGCAAAAATCTCCACCCGGATAACCGAAACTCCATATATATTATTCATCGCGGATAACAGGGAACAGGAGAAACAGAAGCAAGAGTTACGATCGAATGTGTGTGGTTGTGTGCGTGTGTACGCGCGCGCACGTGCGTGTGTATATCTGGCGCTGGTATTGATTGTGTCAGAAGAGCGTGCCTTTTCGCATTTACCCACACCTTCGCGAGCAGAAGACGCCATTTTTCTTCTCCTGTTAGCCGAATCGAAGGAACTCCCCTCCCCCTCTCGTCTTGCTCTTCTTCGCGGCGTTCGTTCTTTCTTCGGATCAGAATCTCCAGGGAAGCAGAATGCATAGCCCTTGCAACGCGTTCGATAACTGTAAAAAGATCATCTGAGTCTGATAAATCACTGATTTACTATCTATAACAACAAACACGAGGGCTCTTTAATTATTCTTGGAAATGAAACGAGCGTACCGTGATTTTCTTTCGAAACGCGAAAGGAAGTCGTTTGACGTCGCCGATAGCAACAATCTGAAGAAGGCGGAGCGAATTGGAAACCATCGATTATTGTTACATTAAAGAAATATTGATAGGAATCTTGTAGTTTGAATGCATAATGCCGACTGCTCTTGCGCGTTAGGGTGATCGTTATACAGGTTATAATTTTGTATTTCTTTTTTAACAACTCCTCGAAATTATAATACTTGGCGAGAAAATGACTCCTGCAAAATTAGACAGGTACAACCTGTTTCAATTCAAATTTCGAAATTTCAATGATTATGATTAAATTTCAATATTCTGTTTCGACATTCCGGAAGTATTAACACGTTCACTGCCAGATCAAAACCGTATAATATTCTGCACAAGTACAATTTTCATTTTAGACCATTGTAACCTACATAACCTACAATTTGTTTCGCTACCTATTTCCGTAACCCTGTTAAAATTCACAAACTATTCAAATTTATTTCCCTCGAACATGAGAATTAATTTTTCTAGTATCGTAATGGTAAATCCTGCCATCTATATATGGCTGACGTTGCAGTCAAAGTGTTATTGAATATTTATAATAGTGACGTTTAGTAACACTATCATAGGGCAAATGTAATCAGATTGAATTATGCCCAACTCTGTGTCAAACGGTGACAAACACCAGAATTTTGAGTATGAAAGCTGCTCTTGCAACATTAGAGTGGTCATTGACTATGGGGGGCACAATTTTGTATTAATTTCTTTTTTTAGCTCTTTCAAATTAGTGTAATTAGATTGAATGTTGCTCAAACTGTGTCAAATAATATCAAACATTATAATTTTGAGTGTGGAAGCTACTCTTGCAACATTAGAATGGTCATTGACTATAGGGGGGCACAATTTTGTATTATTTTCTGTTCTAAGCACTCTCAAACTAATGTAATCAGACTGAATTATGCCTAACTCTATGTCAAACGATATCAAACTCAAGAATTCTGAGTGTAAAAGCTACTCTTGCAACATTAGGGTGGTCATTGACTAGGGGGGGTACAATTTTGTATTAATTTCTTTTTTTAGCTCTTTCAAACTAATATAATTAGATTGATTTTTGCCCAACTCTATGTCAAACAGTGTCAAACACAAGAATTCTGAGTGTAAAAGCTACTCTTGCAACATTGTGGTGGTCTTTGACTATAGGGGGCACAATTTTGTATTAATTTCTTTTTTTAGCTGTTTCAAATTAATACAATTAGATTGAATTTTGCCCAACTCCATGTCAAACGGTGTCAAACACAAGAATTCTGAGTGTAAAAGCTACTCTTGCAACATTAGGATGGTCATTAACTATAGGGGGCACAATTTTGTATTAATTTCCCTTTTTAAGCTCTTTCAAATTAATGTACTTAGATTGAATATTGCCCAAACTGTGTCAAATAATATAAAACGCGAGAGTACGTGGTGTAAAAGCTTGCAGGCTCGATGCATGTATTTCTCTTGTTAAGATAACGTAAGCATATTACGACGACATCTTGCTGTCACTAATACTCGAACATAATGTGAAAATGTTGTATGTTGTTGGTGTGGCAGGCGTTTCGGGACGAAATGCGCGGGCTGCGGCCAAGGACTGGCGCCGTCGCAAGTTGTACGAAAAGCACAGGAACTGGCCTACCATCTTACTTGTTTCTCCTGCGCCCTTTGCTCGCGACAGCTGGACACTGGCGATCAGTACTACCTCATGGAGGACAGGAAGCTCGTTTGCAAGCCCGATTACGAGCAGGCGAAGGCGAAAGGTAACCAAAACTAACGATATTAATAAATCGATTCGTAAAAAAAATACTTATCGACTTTAGATTCACTATACTTGTTAACTCAACACGTTTCAAACTCCATACTTGTAGTTACAGAACTCGTAAATAATATTTGTTAGAAATTTATATTGAATTTAATATATGTATAACTGTAGTGAAAATTAGTTAAAAAATGTTAATATCGAATTATTAAAATATACAATGCCTTGGATTATGGTTCTGTGGAATATAATAATATTATAGCTTCAAAGTTATTTATTCTATTTTAATATATGTATGACTGTATATTTGTTTTGTATATCAAATTAGTTGAAAAATGTTAATTTTGAGTTCATAGTTAATTTTGAAGTTGCAGAACTAGTAAATATTATTTGTTTGAAATTTATCATTGAATTTGATCGACACGGTGAGATTAACGTGCAATGGTAGAATGTGTTCGTCGTATGGAATTACAGAATTGGCCGATGGGGGGAGCATAGATGGCGACCAACCGAACAAGAGGCCGAGGACGACGATCTCGGCGAAGCAACTCGAAACTCTGAAATTGGCGTACAACACCAGTCCCAAGCCAGCGAGACACGTGCGGGAACAACTCTCGCAGGACACAGGACTCGATATGCGCGTCGTTCAAGTGTGGTTCCAGAACAGGTACGTTCGTACGAGAAACAAGAGTTCGTAAATGCAAATTGGCCAGGGATCGGCGGCCATCTTTGAAATATCTACGCAAACGACGCGCAGCGTTCTAAAACCTCGAACCAACAAAAATTAAAAACGCTAGAACGTTCAAAACATTCCCAAAACATAAAACTGTGATCATTGGAGCCACTGATCAATTAATCTTTTAAGAATAAAAAACAGTTTTTAACAAAACGTGTCAATTTATTAAAAAGTCCACTTATACGAGTTTAAAGTATATTAGGGATCTTTCAAGTCGGAAACTAGAAAGCAAAGACTAAAATTAACCAGGGATAGAATTACATTTTAATTTATTTATATTAGAAACGTACTGTAGACACCGTTTGTGCAGGAAATGCATAAGCGTGAAAACGTTTGAATGGGTCGTAGGTAAAGGGAAGCTTTCGCCAACTTTTAAGCAGGACTTAAATTTTGATAGAAATTTCGGTGATTGCGCGAACATTGTCCACTCTAAGAAGTGAAAATCTGAATGTACAGTTAGGATACCATAGAAAAGCATATTCATCGTGTCCTCTGTAACCCGTTTCTACCATCCGTTCAAACACAAAATCGTGAAAGAACAGTATAAAATAATAGTAACTATTTCCATATTATGAAGCTTATACATACATATTTACAAAAATATTTCATGAATTCTAATTTTCTGTTTGCAAAGAATTTAACAAAATATTAAATTCTTCAAAATACTCACTTAACATTTAACAATAACCAAAGAGAGACCAAAATAAGACGAAAATCAAGAATACCAATTTATCGATCGAGGCTTCGTTAAAAAGATATTAACAATTAAATTCAAAAATTTCAAATCGTTCTGAAAAAATTATTTTCGGTTGCGGGGGTCAATTACAATCATTTTTGGTCATTACACATACCCCCGAAATCTTACGCACTTTCGAGAAGAAAATTCCTTACCGAAATTAGGTACTTAAATTTTTCGTCGAAAAAAGAAAATTTCAAATCGTTCTAGAAAAATTATTTTCGATTGCGGGAGTCAATTGCAATAATTTTTGGTGAATAGACATACCCCCGAAATCCTACCCACTTTCTAGAAAAAAATTCGAGAAGGTGTGAAATTTTTCGACGGAAAAAAAATTTCAAATCATTTTGGAAAAATTATTTTCAGTTGCGAGGGTCAATTACAATAATTTTTAGTGAATAGATATACCCCCGAAATCTTGCGCATTTTCGAGAAAAAAATTCAGTACTGTCGAAACTTCAAACGTTAATAACTTTTTAACGAAGCCTCCATCAACAAATTGGTATTCTTGACTTTCGTCTTATTTTGGCCTCTAAAATCCCCCATTAAAATTTTACCCAGGGTTAGCGGAACACCCTGTATAATATTATAATATAGTGGAAATTTACACAAAATAGTATATTTTTGTAAAAATGTATAGCAACATTGTGCATACTTTATACATACGTTATAACTTGTCAGTTATCGGGCTGATCCAAAGCTGAAACATTGTTGCAACTTGTATATCATTTATCGCTTTCGAAAAAGTGTCTGAGCTGCGTATATTATAACAAATGGCGTTGAAAAAATCGTTTTATCAATAGCATGAACGTGCGCACTATAATCAGTAACGCGAACGTATTTAAGTGTCTCAATACGTTCTTTCAAAAATTCTTTTATTCGAGCACCATCGATAATGAATTTCTCGAAACATATTATATTTAACAGAGATTTAAACAATTTTTTAACAAGTATTTTAAAAATGTTTTAAATCCTTGTTACCATTGTTAGAATCTAAAGTTACTAATTAAAAGCCTTAGATTATGACTCTGTGAAATATAATAATAATAATAAAATAGTTCAAAAATAATTTATTCTATTTTAATACATGTATAATTGTAGCGTTAATTAGTTGAAAAATGTTAATTTCGAGTCGATGATTCTATTATTAAAGTATATTTGTTTTATGTGTAAAATTAATTGAAGAATGTTAATTTTTTTTACTGGAATATAAAAAAAAAGTTAATGTTAATTTTGCAATTTCTCGCATGAATCAACACGTAACGTTGATAAACGCAGAAGCGGTGTAACGTTATCGCGATGTCTGTCATCGACAAACGCAGATAAAACAAGCAACAAAGTTATAAAAACGTTCACGTGCTCGATGGCATTTTTCACGGGGGCGCTTCAAGTAGCTTTTCCTCGATTCTTAACGCAGCTCGAGCCATTTTGAAAAAAACGCGCGAAGATAAAGTTGATATTTTGTTGCAACTTTCAATGGTAACAAACCGATAAAAAAATTAAATAACGCGCAAAAAATGTTTAGTTATCGCAAGATCAAGCTACCCGTCTTTAAAAACTCGCGAAAATTCAATAGTCATCGTTCTGAGAAGCTTATTTCTCCTTTAAGTATCGAACTATTCTATACTTGCGATAAACTATTGTTGCAGACACTAAATATTCCATTATAAATCATTGTTTGAGTCTTTAACACGTTCACTACCAGATCAAAACGTATAATATTCCGCAAAAGTAACCATTTTAATTTCAGACATAAGCTACATAACCTAAAATTTGCCTCAGTACTTATTTTTCTAACCTTGTTAAAATTCATAAATTCTATCCAAAATTTTTCTCCGCGTCGTAACTTGAGAATCACTTTTTTTAGTATCATAATGATAAATTCTGTCATTCATATATGGGTGACGTGAAACAAAATTTAACAAAATTAATGCCTGACGAACAGAGCACAACAATGATAATTAAGATACAGACGAAAATGAAGCTAAAAACTAAAATTTCTGAAAATCAAAAAGATACACATTGTCAAGATTAAAAGCGTAGTTTAATAAATGAAAAATTGCAATTCTTCGTGGTTAAATTAAAAAACGCAACCTCTTATTTCGTTTGAAATATAATTTAATTTCAACAAATTTATTTCCCGTGTCAAGACTAACCAAAATGTCTGCCTTAAATTTTGTGATTCTTTTATTTTAGTCGTTAAGCGAAGTTTCTAGGTTACGTTGCTCGAATTAACTCAGGTGCAGTCGTCTAGCGATTAAACCAAAACATTTACTTAAATTAATATGGCTGACCAAATTGTAATTGAAATTCTTTTGTTTCGCAGAAGAGCAAAGGAGAAGAGATTGAAGAAGGATGCGGGTAGAACGAGATGGTCCCACTTTTTCCGAGGTACTATGAAAGGAACGGGGGCTGGTGGACATTCACCTAGGCACGATAAGCTTCTCGATAAGGACGAACTTAAAGTCGACCTGGACTCCACCTTCGGTCATCACGGTATGTAAATTGCAATCGAGTTCTTCGCTGTTCGCGGTATTAGGATAGACCGATGACGGTTGTAACACTTGAACTTTAGAATAAGGTTACGTAAAAGCAATTGCACTTACGCGACAGTGCTTTGTACGAACACGTTACCTACTTATCCGGGATTATTGAATTACAGCTATGTATGTTAACGAATATCTGGATTATTAAAAGTTTCATTTATTCTTTATGCGTTTAATTAAGTTAAACTAGAAATTAAATCTATAATATTAATATCTTATTACATCACCTTCGCAATCTGCGTCACAATACGTTGCAATATCCCTCTTCTCGCTGTACGTATATCCTACACGATAATTTCGTGTTTTATTTAAACATCATATTTCTATTTCATGGTCTATAGTTGTTATTGGATTAATTTTGTTATGTGAAATTCACTTCTCGACCCCTCACTGAACATTTTTACACCTTGTTTCATATCACGACCACTTACGCGTTCACTTTATTTCTAGGTTAGGTCGCGTTACCAACAAAATTCTGGGCCCATAACCGATGTTAAGTTTTAATTTATTCTTTATTTGTTTCGTTAAGTTACATTGGAAATTAAATCTATGATGTTGATATCTTAGTATACTGTATAATATAAATGAACGTAAAACGAAATTACGCGCGCGTTTATTACGTTACATGGCTGATACACATACCGGAGGAAAGTCAAACTCGTGTTGCATACAGAGGTCGCGAGCATCGTACAATGTTACAACCATCATCGATCTACCCTACAATCGCTAGATCTTCCGTAATTGTATTATAAAATGGAAAGTATTCGGTGTCTAAAAGAACTTGGGAAAAGCTGTTTTTATGTATGATTCGAAATATGTGATGATCAAAATCAGCTAGTATCGTAACATAATCGCCCATTTAGCTCGTGACTGGTATTCTGATTCCAGAGTTCTGACCCAGACCTAACCCCTCACTGAACATTTTTATAACTTACCTCATATCGCGACCACGCGTTCACTTTTTATTTCTAGGTTAGGTCGCGTTACCAAGCGAACTCAGAGCCCATAACCAAAATCAGCTATTACTGTAACATAATCGCCCGTTTAGTTCGCGACTGGTATAGTGATTTCAAAGTTCCCGTAATTGATTATACGATGATTAATTAAATTTTTCTATTGTTTCGTACGATATGTGGAGCCACTGTTTGCATCCCAAACAGTGCTGGTAATGGTTCCGTATTCAAAAAATCGTTGCGCGTTGTCAGAACTAGCGCTGAAAAGCGACCAATAGCGCGTTATTTGCACTTCCAATATCGCAAAATGCACGCAGGTTTCCCTCTGTGTGCGCAACCAACCCCTTCGATTCGCGAAACGAGAAAACGTTAAAAGCATAGTAACGGGCCCTCGAATATATTTGTACCACGAATATGTTTCCGCGAAGAACTAAATTTTCCAAGTATTTTGTTGTAGAGGTGACAAAAAATGTTTACCCCGAATTTTAAGAACAGTAGCTACGATGGTTGTCAAAAAAGAAATCCTGAAGCAAACATAAGACAAATTACCATTTAAACTAAATTGAAATATACCGGGTGTTCGGCCAATGCTGGGAAAAATTTTAATGGGGGATTCTAGAGGCCAAAATAAGATGAAAATCGAGAATATCAATTTGTTAATGAAGGCTTCGTTAAAAAGTTATTAACAATTAAATTCAAAAATTTCAAATTGTTCTGGAAAAATTATTTTCGGTTGTGGGGATCAATTGCAATCATTTTTGGTGAATAGACATACCCCCGAAATCCTACCCACTTTCTAGAAAAAAATTCGAGAAGGTGTGAAATTTGACGACGGAAAAAAAATTTCAAATTGTTCTGGAAAAATTATTTTCGGTTGTGGGGAACAATTGCAATCATTTTTGGTGAATAGACATACCCCCGAAATCTTACCCACTTTCTAGAAAAAAATTCGAGGTGTGAAATTTGACGACCGAAAAAAAATTTCAATTCGTTCTGAAAAAATTATTTTCGATTGGAGGGTCAATTGCAATCATTTTTGGTGAATAGACATACCCCCGAAATCCTGCGCATTATCGAGAAAAAAATTCAGTACGGTCGGAACTTTTAACGTTAATAACTTGTTAACAAAGCCTCCATCAACAAATTGGCATTCTTGATTTTCGTCTTATTTTGGCCTCTAGAATCCTCCATTAAAATTTTTCCCATGGTTGGCGGGACACCCTGTGGAGTATAAAATTGATTGGAAAATACGTGTTAATGCGTGGAACATTAAGTATATAATGAATGCCTATTAAAACGCAAAGAAGGGGATGGAGAAGTTGAAAGAACAATTCTAACTCGCTCGGTTTCGCTTTAATGTCGGTTACATCTAAACTTTCGTGTACCCGAGCGTTTAGCAGAGGGGTAGACGATCTCGTCAATTATTCAGGAGTTCGTGGAGGCTAACTGCCAGTTCACCGTGTCCGAGATTGCAGGAAGATTGCGGGCCATCCTCGAATTTATGCCTACCGTTAACCATGCGCGCCGTAAAGCTATGCAAACTTCCGCCTTTGTTTAAATTTTAAACGCCTTCCTTACTGACTTCCTTCCAGCCGACGGGCACGCTAATCGAAAAATAAATCTGTTCTACTTTTGGATGGCCGATCAAATGCAATTAAGATTCCCTGCTCTTGAAGGAAACAGTTACAAAATATTTAATAAAAAAAAAAAATATATTAATACATAGTTTTGTAACCATCAGGAGCTAATTATGATGTGAAATTTCAAGAAACTGCGACCTTGAATAGATTCATAGTGACACGTTCACTGTCCGTGACCCTTATATGGGTCATAGAAAAAGCTAAATCATACTATTGAATGCAGTGTACCAAAAGTTATACGGTTAGCAGATTGTGAACAATCTGACGGCCAATGCTATAATGACTCATACGTAAGACACTAAGCGGAAGTGTATATCTGTGTAATATAGCGAAAGTAACTGGTATCTTGTGTGAGAATATTAGAAAAATTCATGACAATGTATTAATTAAATGAATATTTTCATTTAGATTTGAGTAACGACAGTTACGGGACTGTGGTGAACATGGGATTGGATGGTGAAGGCGCGAGTCCAGGTGGAGGTGGAAATGGCGGGGGCGGGGGCCCTCCACGCGGTTATTTAGGTGCAACGACTCCCCCTTATCTGTCAACGTCCAGATCACCGTCCTTACCACCACAATTTCCATATCCACCGGATACTGGCCTCTCCGTTTACACCACCCTTGGTAAGTGTGACCGTTTCATTGCAGACCAAGTATACGAGTAGACCTTACACCTTACGGACTTTCGTGGCCCGATCTGACTGCAATACCTGAAAATTCGGAGGTGATTTTAGTGTTCCCCTCTCATAGATGGTTGTCAGTTGAGTGAGTTGACTATGAGAGGGATCAAAAAGGGCAATCCAGTATTATCAGAGAACTACCACTCCATTTACAAACACTAATGAATAGCCACCTTGTACATGAGTTCTGACGTCTCGTATAACTTCAGGGATTCGAGGCAAAAGTAGTTGATTGTAATGGTCTCCTGCAATTGTGCTTGTATTTCATTGAAATTTATTTATGGAGTAGAGCCCATGGATATCTACAAAAAAGTATTAAACAACTTTTCTCTACAGCGTCAAACAAAGTTACTAAAAAACAAAAACGAATTTCCAAGAAAAATCGACAGGGGATAGGTGCCTAAATTTTTCGACGAAAAAAAGATATCAAATCGTTCTGGAAAAATTATTTTCGGTTGCGAGGGTCAATTACAATCATTTTTGGTGAATACACATACCCCCAATCTTAGGCACTTTCGAGAAAAAAATTCTTCACCGAAAATATAACGTGTGGTCAGGAATGTTTCTGTAATTTCATTTTCAGTCTCACTTCCTCTTGTGTTCATTTCTGTAACCTGTTGGTAATGTTGCGAGTGACGCGAAAATGGTAATGGGGCTCTATGGCCCCAGAAAAGTGGACTGAAAAAATACGTTGGATGTAGGTCTACTCGTCTTTGGTTTCAGTATTACACTGACAAGGGAAGGACTCCAATTGTCCGATTTCGATTTTAACGGGTTTTTGCAAAGTGATATATGTTCCTAATGATATGTGCAAAATTTTAAGCATTGATACTTAATAATTTCAAAGATATGAACAATTAAAGTTATGAACCATAAATAGTAGCGTTGGCGAGGTGAGAAGCGTGCCTGACTGGTCAATCTACACGGTACACGGTGAAGGATAATTTTCACATATGCAATGAAAACATAAATGATGGCAATAAACTTGTCTTATTTAATATCACTAGGAACATATATTTTATCACCTTGAAAAGACCCGGTAAATATCGAAGTCGTGGACAGTTGGTGTCCTTTCCTCGTAAAGAAAAAAGTCGAAACTTCCACGATGAGATGGCGGAGAATTGAACGAATGGGAATCTCTGAAACGAGTACAAAAAAAATGTTCCAGGTGGCGCAGGCAGTATGGTACCGGGTCCGGCGTCGGATTTGAGCAACGAATCGAGCGGGGGCGGCGGAGGTGGTGGCGGTGGAGGCGGCGGCGGCGGAGGTGGTTACCCAGATTTTCCACCCTCGCCCGATTCATGGCTCGGCGAACCACCACCTCCGCACGCTCACCATCATTCCCACTACAGCACATAACACGGCAGAGCCGCGCGTCGCCAAACACCGTATGGAACGGATCGGCACAAGGCGTTCACCTGACAACCCCGTCGGCGAGGCAGGACTCGTTTGAAAGACTACGCGAGCCATCCAACAGACCAGTCTGTCCTCATTCGTCCATCGTCGACGTTGCATCCTCGAGCCTCGGTCTCGAGGGGATCACGGTGTATCGATTGTACCATCGACGGATCCGTCTTCGCTTGTAAATCGATCGAGGCAGTCGATCGAGGACCGACTCGAGCCAGTGAGTCATTCCACACCATACTCCGCACCGTCCCGGCCGGTTTCCCGTCATCGGAATGATTGCCAATGCGTATTTGTCGTATTACGTTACGTTCACCAGCGACACGAAACACGCATTCGATAGTACGATTAATCTAAATATATTTATGTACAAGTTCCTCGTTTCCCGGTACTATGGAGTTTAATCGTCGATTAAAGAAAAACCTAACCTAGAAAGGTAGTTTTAGGCGTGTCGCGAGCCGGACGTTCGTTGGAACCGATGCGTCGCGGTGACACGAATAAACGGTCGACGATGCGCGATAGCTTCTCGAACCGTACGCTGACGGTGGAATTCCGAAATACGGCGAAGCGTTTCGAAAAGTATCGAGTCGAGGGGGGTCGATTTTCATTTTCCTAGCGAATTCCGTCGGATCGACCGTGTGCTCTGCGTGCGACGTAATTTCCCTTTGCGAACGTCAACGGGGCACGTTTCTGTGGTATACCGCGCTTACGTGACGTTACAAGTTTCAGGTGTCATTTATTGTAAATAGTTCAGATTAGATTCTATCGTACTCCAATAAGAGAAGAATGGAAAAATGACGAGAAAGGATCGGCGTACAACGATCTCGGCATGAGCGACGCCGTCCGCAAACGAAACTCGAAATTGAAATTTAGAACCACCAGATGAGTTCTTTCGAGCCGACGCGTCGATTCCCGTGGGAAACAGATTACCAAACTGCGGATTTTATGCGCTCTTACGGTTCGCATTAACGCGAAAAGCATATACTGAACGAACGTGGAGTACATTCCATCGAATACCATAACGATATTATTCCATTTTGCATGTGTGCATCATATTTCCCGTACGTTCGACGTATATTTTTCGCGCTACGAACGCGTAAGATCCGCAGTTTGGAAATTACAAGCGGAACATTTTTCGATATTTTTTATTCGTGTCATCGAACGAGTTTGTTTAGAAATGCATCGAGGGTCAATGGTAATTCGGTTACGGTATAAACGATTGCCTTCTCTCGTAATGAAAATGTAATGTCACACTGTGTACAAATCTAGTGCTGCAGGATTGGCCAGTTTCGCGACCAATCGGAAGCGATTCCAGAATCCCTCTACTTTACCAGTGAACCGCTCGGTCGACTTTCTGATGCGCGGAGGAATTGTCGTTACGCGAGAAGACGTGATTTTCGAATTACGATCGAACGACTGATCGGTTGTGAATCGTTAACAGTGTCGTATTTTATTGTGAAATGTTTACTTACGGTCGGTGGTGAGCCGTTCCGATCGCCCGACGTATGCTTTTCACGCATACTCGTGACAGTCAGTATTCGACTATTCGATTTGTGACAAATTCGCGTGATCTGCATCACACGGCACTGTTTCGGTATCCTGTGTCATCCAGGTGTCATCGATATCAGCGTGTCACCAATTGTCGATCGAACGTAAGTATTCTTTTCGCAACATATTAACTGATCATTTCCCGATTTAGCCGACGCACACGAAATCGTTGAACAAACATGGCGATTGGCAACGAATCAGGTCTCGTAGGAATCGATCTGATTCGGACGAACGTTCGATTGTGCGGTTAACGCTTTACGGACGACGACGTGAACTCTACCATTTAAAAAAAAAAACTTATGTAAATATCAAGAAACGTAACCTATATTTTCTTCTAGCATTCCTCTATCAACGAAAACTCTGATCGACGATCGTTTCTTTCTCGCGATCATTCCTTTTCTCGTTTCGATCAAGAAAGATCACTCGTTTACGTTCTCTGTCCGTAAAGTGTTGACAATTTTGAATAATCAAAGTCATAACGATGTCAATTGTGCCCTCGTCTCGACGCGTATACGCGTGTTATGTATACATTGTACATGTATGTACGCGCGAGGCACGTATTCGCTAAACTACGGCTAGATTTAGAAAGAATCGATAATCAAAAGCGGTAGGTTCGATCGATTGTAGCCTCCGTACGGTTGGCCGACTTCGTCTACGTATGTGCAATAATACGAGGGGGCGCTTCAGTCGTTTGAACGCCGTGAAGCTGTGCACAGGGGCTTGAAAAAGTTCCGAAAATAAACGTTTCTAAACGTTGTAATATAAAGGTTCTGGTCGAAACTGTTACGATAAACTATTCTGAATAACTATTATAAAGAACCTAAAAGTCGAACTAAATCGGTTTAAGTTAAAGTTCTTGCATCGGCTATTGATATTAGTAAGTTTGAAACAGAAAAAAGATCGATGATTCTTAACATGATATTATCGATATTTGGAACGCCTTTTTCTTTTACTTTGCTTTATCGAAACCTTTATAGAACTTATACGAAATCTGATGCAAAAACTTTAACCTAAACCGATATAGTCCAAAATTTAGATTGTTTGTAACAGTTGGTCAGAATAAACGTTCTTCGTGACTGTTTCAAGTATCTGAACCTATATTGGGACAGTTTTCAAGCCCCGGGTGTACACGTGTCCGTTGATCCGTTCACGATAACGCGATTCGCGAGATTAAACGCGTTTAAAGCTGTTTTCTCGAAAATTGTGACGCCTCGTATTATTCGAACGGATGCTCTACAGGGCGTATCATGCGAGAAGAACAAGGTCCGAGGTAAAGGAAAGATATCACTGTAGAATTGTATATACGTCGTACCCCGATCGTTTTAACCTCGAGAATTCAATTACTCGAAACGAGGGAGCGTCGAGAAAGGTATTATTTCGCGAAAATATTGAATGTTGTACAGTTACGAATACCGAATACGTGCTCCTCGCCGGGTTTCGCAAAGATGAAATGAAAAAAAAAAAGAGAAAAAGATTCGCGTGACTGGCGCAGTTCATAACTTCATCGACACGAGTTACTACGGATCTTTATATTATTATCTAGTCATCGAGTGATAATAAAAATTCTATCATAATCTACATCGTGTTGTATTTTATTCGTTTCTTTGTCTATTTCACAATTTGGCAACATTTCATTCGAATACCAATTTTACCTAGAACTGTTAAATTTTTATCTGTTCTTTGTGAAATATTTCATTCTATGATTCAAATTTTTATTGTTATTCAACTAGTTACGGATAGACAATTGTTTCTCTTATGTTCGCTGTTTTAAATTTTTATCCGGATAGAAATTTTACATGGATTTAACTCTTTGCGGCGCAAGATTTCAGATAATAAAATAGTCCCATGTTGCATAGAGATTTTATTGCGTTTTAAATTAAACAAAATTGGTATAAAAACAAAATAGTAATAGTTGTAACATTTGTTGAAGATATTACCAACTGCTTTACGTAAATAAGACGAAATGTAAACCTGTGTGCATGCAGCTATTGCAATATTTCGAGGTGGGACTAAAAATGTCCCACCGTCCATTACGGTGCATCAAAATGGTGGGATACTTTTAATCCCAGTGTGCCCCAAAGAGTTAACGAGTCATTTGTAAAGGAAAAAGATTATTATGAACGGAGCACAGTTTAGGAAATAAATTAAAGTTAGAATTTTTCAAATATCAATGGCACTTTATTTGCGAAGACTATGTACAGATGCTGTGTAATGATACATTGGTGTTTATATGTACACGCGGGTAAATTTATGTCGTGGAAAAACGAAATATGACAAATGGACAGTTTCCGATTCGATGGAAAGGTTGCACGAACCTTTGGTAAGAAGAGACAATCTACAAAAGAGCTCGAGTACACTTACATAATTATATACAAAACTCGCAATATACAATTCCATCTTATTTCGCGAAGCACGCTTTTGATCAACGTTTTAATATTTATGTGTTTTTGGTTAACGATTCGTGAATGTATCAAAATACTTTTTCGTGAGTTTTTTTTACAAGATATAACACGCGTCGTGGTCGATCGTTAATTTGTACAAATTGGATTGCACGCAACGAGTAGAAACGTAGCAAAGTCGCGGCTATAAAAAATAAACATCGACGTCAGTTTTAAAATATGCAACTTCGCGGCTCCTTTTCTTTTCCTTGCATACAATTTTCTTTCTTTTTGCTCGCGTCGATCTCCCTCATCTCTGTCAATTGTCTAATGGCTCTTCGTACGTTCTTGTTTTCTTGAGTATACTCTTTGTAATCTGCAGCTGTTTCGTTATAGCTTTCTCGACGTTCTTTTTGTTCTTATTCGACGCGGAAAGATGCTGGAAAGTATCCTCTAATGCCCTTCTCGTTTTCATCAACCTTCTCTTTAGCGTTTCGTTTTCTTGCTTCAAAGCTTCCACCTCATCTAGACCTGCAATATAATATTGAACACATTAGTTTTCACATAGTTTGATTACGTACACATTAAAGCCTTCAAATATTGTTTAGTCTAGATTTATTTAATTAATTATTCACTAGAAATTAAATTCGTTTAATGTGCAAATCTTTGTTCATATCGCCACCCCTTTTTCCATCATAAATCTGTCAACGATCAATTAAATAAAAAATGAAAACTAAATCTCAAGCGAAACTAGAAACTAGAAAACTAGAAGTATAAAATCTCAGATAGAAATAACCTAAATTTTATAACATGTACAAAGACGTTTGATTTTTTTCAGAGAGATACACCATACAATTTCAGATTTTTGTACTTTCAACTTTAATGTTATAGATATAGCAGGGCTCAAGTTACCTTCTATCGGCAAAGGACTTTCGTTATCCACTTCTCTAACTGGTCTGTTGCTATTGCCGTTATCTTCATCGCTCAATAAATTAGTCATCGACTCGGTAATTTTCAACGTATCTTTCAACGGCCTCATGGTCGTCACAGCTGCGTCGCTTTCGATCCCTAAATCTGGCGAACAACTTGATTTACTGCGGCCACCGAGCGTCGAGTAACCTACAGGCAGCCAGTACTGCGAATTCTGAAATGAATTTTACGTTTGGTAGTATTTTGAAATATCAAGGGAACTACAGTGCAAATGGTGCTCAAAAGAATTGCAAGATCATGTTACTTGACAATTCTACAACACGGGGCGTGAGGTCTAATAATAATTCGACGGATAGTTATTGCTTAGGAGGAAAGAAATTGACAGAAACTGTCAACTAACGTTATATGATTGATATTCTTGCATGATGTCCTCGCAAGTTTGTTTAATTATCGCATCTGTGGGTAGAGAGGATACGCCGCTAGAACTTGGCGCTGAATCACTCGCATCGCACATTGCAACGTGCCTTCGTAGCTCTTTGTTGGCAATTTCCAATTCATGTAATCTTACTCTGTGCGACTCGTTGATCTGATTCAGATCCGAGATCTACATGGACACACAATCAACAGTTGCGTTACAGAGTACACCAAACATGAACTTTTAACGAGAAGCGAACGTTTTACCTCCTTGTTGAATTTGTCATGCATAGAACGGACGGTCATGTCGCATCTGTTCTCGGATTTCCTAATTTCTTGCTCCAAACGTAACTTATCGTTCGTTAGCTTCGTGTTCTTCACGAGAATTTGACTGTGAGTGAGAGTTAGGTGATCGAGCTCCTTCGTGACTGTTAATATAGTTGCTTTGGCATCCTCGTTCTCCTCCTCCAATTTCTTGATCCGCGCCCTCAACTGGAATTTGGTCAGACGTTAACGTTATTTGTTCAGAGTGACATGAAATGCTTTAAAGATTAATACTCGATACTAGACATACGAGATTGCATTTACATACGTTTAGGGTAGTATTACAAATATATAATAGTTTTTTTTTTTTTTAAATAATTGAGCTTAATTAGACAATTTATTACAAAAGTATAAGGAAAATGTTTCATTACCGTCTCGTTCTCTCTGTTGAGCGTTACGAGCATATCCGCGGTTTTTTTATCGGTGTTTTCTTTATATTGCATCAACTCTGCTTTCTGTTTATTCATTTCAGTGGCCATACTCTCCAAATCGACCAATTTCTTCTCCAATTGCGCTCTGCAAATGTTATTCTGCTTACTTTCCTTCTTTAGCGCGTGAATTTCGTGCATTCTTCTGTCCAAGGATGATTGCAATTTTTCACAGAACTTTTGCGACTTTTCCAATTTCACGATCAACGGCGATATTTTTTCGTTGAATGCCTGCAACGTTTAAAATTCAATGTAACATAAATCTTAGAAAGTAAATTTCCATAAAATTATCAGTTTTTTTGTGAAGTAAATCGTATTAAATTTTATACATAGATCAAGCTTAAAAATTGTGAAATAAAAGGTTGTATAGAGATTCTAGGGGCCAAAATAAGACGAAAATCAAGAATACCAATTTGTTGATCGAGGCTTCGTTAAAAAGTTATTAACGTTTAACGTTTAAACGTTTGCGCCTGTAGATAGGCAACCTGCGCACAGCTGTGTGCGCGCGATAGTGGTACAATTTTACGAGTGAGAACCATTGTCGTGCGCACGCAGCTGTTCTCAGATTGCCATTCTTCTTTTAACGAAGCCTCGATCAACAAATTGGTATTCTTGATTTTCGTCTTATTTTGGCCTCCAGAATCTCCCATTAAAATTATAAATTTTATTGATTTTGATATTAGATTGATTGCATTTTTTACTAGTTGATCATAAAGATTGTTCATGAACCTCCAAATAGCTTCTAAAAACAGGCGAGTTTTAAGTCTATTTCGTGAAGTAACTATCAAGTAACCTAACAAGATCTTTTCACCTCGTGTCAAACAACAAATTGTCTTCATCGTCGTGCAAGATTTAATACCTTAACTCACAAAATAGCTGATAAGATTCTTCCAAATATATCAGTAGGAAACTCTACCCGTTATACTTACACAGTCAAAAGAAACCTGAGTATGCAGTTCGTTCTTGAGGGCGCTGAGTTCAGTATACAGGAGAGCGTTGGTTTCCTTTAGTTCTTGTATATGATTGCTAGCCTCGGTCTCGTTCAGATCGTTCTGATAAGTTTTATGGTAAGGCACGTATTCCAAAGAATCTTCGGAATCGCTGAACGTTTTGGTGTACTTTGAGAACCTTGACCGACTCAAAGACTTCTGTTGCGTTTCCTGCAGTCCAATTCTAGCCATGGAGACCGTTCTATCTGGCTCCGAGAATGCCTCCGAATCGGATTGCGTGGAAGCTTGATGCTTGGTGGCGCTGAGCAGATTCTCCGATCGACTCTTCTTCACCGAATTGTCGAACGACCTCGCGTTCATTCCTTCCAGACTGAACGGTATATCGTTGATCGAAATCCCTTCGAGCGCGTTCACAAAGTCATCGGACAATATCTTCGAGCTCATCAGAACGTCGAGGACGATTTTCTTATGTTTGTTGCCAATCGTATCGGCGTGATCCACGCTCTTCAACATCTCCTTCATGAACTTCACCAGATCCTTGAGGTGAGTGCGTAATAATTCGCAGTACTTGTTGGCTCTCTCCGTTTGATTGTCGCCGTATCCGTCCATCTCCGTGGCGATATCCGGCATGGAGACCAGTTTCAGCCATTTTAAGTAATCGACCTCCTTCTCCAGCTCGTTCTTCTGCGTTACCAGCTTCTGTACATAGTCCGTCATGGTTTTCACGTCGATGAGTTTGTTACCGTCGACGTAGTTCAGTTGAATCACCTCATTTGTGAACGTCACCTTTATACCAATGTCGTTCAGCTCTTTGATCAACGTAGACAGTTGAGAGCTGGCGCTTTCTTGGACGATGTCCGATTTGTTTCGGCTCCTCTCGTGACCGTGGCTGGCGGTCATATGATTGTGAAGCTTCGCGATCTCCTTGTTCTTGCTCCACAGTTCCGTGTTGACCAGCTGTTGTAAGTTCTGCGTCTTCACTTGCAACTCCTTCGTCAGTTGGTCGATCTTTCGATTTTTCTCCTCGATTTCTACGTCCCGCAGCTTCAGCTCGCGGAGAAGATCCTCTCGTTCGGTCGGGCTTTCGGGCTCGTTTCTCGTGGTTTCTTTCAGCTTCTCGAGTTCATCAGCTTTATCCTGTAGTTGCTCCTTCATCGTCTGCTTTTCGGTCTCCAGAACTTGGATCTTTTGTTCTCTGTCTTGTAGGCGGCCTTGGAGTTCCTGTCAAAAAAGAATTTGAGGTTAGTATCTTGTGCTACTTTAGAGGTTAGCATTACTGAGTGCCCTGGGATTCTTTATTAAAGAGTGTGAAACAAACATAGATTAACGTTATTTGTTCCTAGTTTACAAGGGGAGACTACGGATTTGGAAATCGATTTTTGATTTTAGACCATTGTAAACTAGATAACCTAAAATTTGTTTCAGTACTTATTTTCGTAACCTTGTTAAAATTCATAAATTCTATCCAAATTTATTTCCCTCAATGTCTTAACTTGAGAATTAATTTTTCTAGCATCGTAATGGTAAATCATGTCACCCATATATGGGTGACGTGGCAGTCAAAGTGTTAAACAGACACAGCGGTATATAACTATTAGAAAAAAATGCTGAGACTTTCATCGAATAGGCTTCCTGTTTTGTGATAGAATTATTTAAACTTTCATACGTAGGATGTACAGAAAGGTAATTGAACTGATAAAAGAGTTCCTATGAAAAATGATCATTTACTTGCGTATTTGTATTATACTTTAAGAAGATTTAATAGAATTTTGTTTGTGATTCAATTTTGCATTGCTTTTATTGTTAGAAAATATAGACATTGATCAATGGCTAATTAGATGTATGTTGTGACCAAAATTGATAAATTTGATGATGGATTCATTGTGCTACAGAGTTATATTAAAACATATAGCATAGAATTATTACATCGTATAGAAAGAAGGATGGATCTATATATGCACAAAGAAATTTTGAACATTGTGAGAATCTATAGGGAATATACTAATTGAAGAATGTAACATCATCTTCCATCAGGTTAGAAACATCAAATATAAGACAAAACGAGTGCAAGATTGGTTAGATCATATTGGTTACAGTCATTTCAACATGGAAACTTATGTACATGTTTTTTTTATGGAATGAAAAATTTTATTCATTTTTAGAAACCAAATGCAATTTTATAGCTGATTTCATTTTTAAAACACCAAAAACTTTTAGACGCAGAAAAATGAAATTTACTCCATAAACTTATATCTCGAAATTAGTATAAAATGTTTTCTAAATATAAAAATCGTTTTTAACCAAAGAGATTAATTGAAATAATAGTAAGTGAAATCGAATTAATAAAGATAATGTATTTTGGTAAACATAAATTAAAGTTTAATTTTATATAATTTAAATTAAAAAATAATGAAAAGTAAATTATTCGAAATTTATTTTCCATGTTTGACTGTTAAAAAATGGTGTGCACATTGGAATATTTTTTTTTTTTTTCTTATAGGAAAAGACGCCTAGAACGAAAATCTTACCGCAAAAATTCAAAGTGCATTTTATCGAGGTTTAAAATAATATGACATACCACCTTTTTATTATTTATAATTGTTTCCTTTTCACTTTAAGATTTTTTAAACGATACTCTAACAAAGTCCGTATCAAATTATGATTAAAAAAAAAAGTTACCTCCGATTTAACTTCTATCTGCTTCTCCAAACGACTCTTCTCAGCCTTGATGGTCTCTACTTGGTCTCGTAGGTCGTTTATTTTGGCTTCCATATCGTCGAATCGCCGCTGCACATATAAAGTATTGTTCTCGTCAATAAAACTCGGCAACAAATCGGTTGAACGATTTATTTGTGGAACAATAGTGATTACAGAGATGGTATGTACAGACATCGCGTGGAAATAATTTGCATCGGAACGGCGTGCGAATTGAACGAATGGTTATCGTGTTTCGTGGGGCCCGTGGATACCCCGTGGACCGATAATCGAGGGAAAAGCGGGTGGGAGGGAACGATTGCATGCTAATTAACATCGTGTAGAGATCATTCGTGTTATAAAGGAGCTTAGATTTTCGGTTTTCTTGACCAACTCCGCGGCGAAACAAGGGTAACGATATCTGGCCCCTAAAAGGAAAAACAGAAGAGATATCTAATTTGTAATTTTACATCGTGTCATTACGAGGGAAGGACACCAATTGTCCGACTTCAATTTTAACGGGTCTTTGCAAAGCGATAGTGTATATGTTCCTAATGATACATGTAAAATATTAGGTGTAGATACTTAATTGTTTTAAAGATATAAACAATTAAAATTACGAACCATAAATAGTAGAGTTGGCGCGGTGGTAAGAGTGTCTGACTGGTAAATCCAGGGTCCTGGGTTCGATTCCCCCGGTTTTATAATGGGCATAGACTTTTTTCAATTGTAAAAGTTTATTACATTCACGGTGTACATGATGGCTAGATGACAATTGCCATAAAATAAAAAAAAATAAATCATCATCTTATTTAATATTTAAAGTAATGATTTGTAAAAAAAAAATACAATTAATATAGTGCCAAAACTGTCTCATAATTAATTCTAATACGTGAATTAAATATTAAATAAGATTTAGAACTTTTACATTTAAAAAAATTTTATATCACTGAACAGGAATCGATCCCAGAACCTTGGATTTACCATTCAGGCACTCTTCCCACCTAGCCAACTCTACTTCAATGTTCGATGTCTATACTTATGATATATAAGTATGATTTATAACTTTAATTGTTTATATCCCTAAAATTATTGGCTATCTACGCCTAATATTTTGCACATAACATTAGAAACATGTATACTATATCGCCTTGCAAAGACCCGTTAAAATCGAAGTCGGACAATCGGGGTCCTTCCCTTGTTAGTTCTACCGCTGTTCTGCAAATGAAATTCAACGAATTTAAATAATTCAAATCTTTATAACTTAAGAGATAAAGAGAGCGAGAGAAGTGGTAATTTTGATTTTGAAATAACAGTGCGACTATACAGAGTGTCTTTTAAAATTGTTTCTTGGAACTAGCGATGGTTTTTACCATTTAAAAAACCAGTCGAATCAAAACTGTGTAAAAAAATATTTTATATTTAGATATTTGTAATCACATCCTCTCAAATTTTTACCACGAACACACACGTAACGTCCAGTGGTAATTTCGTTATTTTTTCCCCCCCAACGTCATCAGTCGATGTCTACCTACCTCCATTCTCATCGAGGCGCACAAACAGGAAAACATTGTTATCGTTTTGTTCGATTTCCGTTCGATCGAGCGAAAGATACTCCGACGCTAATGCTACAATAACGTTTAGCACTGGCGAATATCCCGTGTGAAATGCGAAAGCGGCGAATTTTTTTTTTTTTTATCTCGAAATCGTTTTTTTTATCACCAAATTCACCGATGAAGGCAAAAAATCGTCGTACTTTGTCAGCTCGGTTTCGTAAAGAAGGTCGTGCACGTTTCTCTTCTTTGTTTCGTCGAGAGTCGTTGTTTTCGTTATCAATAAAATTAAAAAAAAAATGAAAGTATGTCGCAAAACTTTTAAAATTTTATCGAAATTCGTATTGATCGTTAAGTAAAAAAAAGTAATAAATATTTCGAGCGTCCCGATCGGGGTCTGTCGATCGTATCTAGTCGTTTTTTTTTCTTTTCTTTTCTTTTTTTTTTTGTTATTGTCGTTCGTCGTGGAGGAAAACCACGGTGGATGGAAACGGTCGAGGTGAATTTTCGTGCGAAGACTGCCCGAGAGCGGATCGTGCAGACTTCGCGAGCAGACTGCCTCTATTATTAGACGAAAGGCATGTCTTCGGTTTGGTATCTCGGAGATACCATGCCGCCTTGCTCTTCCACGAAAATCACTCGATAGCCCCCGTGCTTCATTAGACAGTCTCTACTCAAATTCATTGAATGTTCAGCATCGGTAATTCGCGCTTGTTTAGCATGGAATTCACGTGGGCAGCCATCAATGGCGGACGGTGGACATTAAGAGCCCTGAATTAGAGTCTTCTGTCGTTTAAAGACCATTAGCATCAACGTCCTTTTACTTCAAGAGTAATTTTACTATCTCTTCGTGCAACAAGATACTATTAAAACATTCCGGAGACAAAAGATGTGCTCAGAATCTTTGTTAACGAAAGTTGTTTGCTTCGAACGATTCTTTCGCGGATGAAGAGACTTAAAAAAATTTTTTAAAACGAAGGTGACCCTAAAATCTCTCCACCAAAGTTTTCCTGTATCACTAAAAATAACAGAGACACTCAAGGTGAACCGAATTATTGCCCCACCCTGTAGACTGTCCCGAGATCCACGCAGAATATAATTGAGGAAGCATCGTGTTTTTTTTAGAATGAATAGATCTCTTAAAATTGTGTGTAACAATTAGGTGTTGGATGTGAAAAACATGTAGAAAATAAATTCTTTTTTTTCCAAGTGTCATTGATCAGTCTGTTAACCCTTTACGCTCCAGTGACACGTCTTATGATAATTACACTCAAATTTTAGCGTTCACAAATTCACTTCCTTACCTGCACATACTTTTTCAATGCATCTGTGACGAACCTCATTGTTTCTTTCGCGTGTGTAATATAATATTCCTTTTCTATTTTACAAAAAAAAGAAACCTTACTGAAAAATATAACAAAGTACTATTCCGTAATTATTTAGAAGGATACAACTGTTTTAATATCACTAAATTTTTGTACCATTTGGTTTTAACACGTTCACTGCCAGGTCAAAACCATATAATATTCTGCACAAGTAAAATTTTGATTTTATACCATTGTAAGCTACATAACCTAAAATTTGTTTCGAATTCTATTCAAATTTATTTCCCTTGACGTCTTAAATTGAGAATTAATTTTTCTAGTATCATAATGAGTAAATCCTGCCATTACCTAACCTCAAATTTGTTTCAGTACTTATCTTCGTAACCTTGTTAAAATTCACAAATTCCATTCAAATTTATTTGCCTTGACGTCTTAATTTGAGGATTAATTAATGGTAAATTCTGTCACCTATGTATGACGTGGCAGTCAAAGTGTTAATTACACACTGTACTTCCATAAATTTTCATGACAAAATCTGCAACACGTTTTGAGAAACAGGTATATACATTCAACCAAAACTGCAGGAACTGCGAATGAAACAGTGCGAAATCGTGTGGAGTGCAAAGGGTTAAATACAAATAAAAGTATACAGTTAGACAATTCGTAGACGCAAAATTAGTAATTAATTTATTCGTTGAAAACGTTGACAAACGATCGGCGATTGATTCGCCATTAAATTGCAATTAAGTAAATGCTTTTTGCAAACAGGTAGCTAGGATTCGTGCATGCGTTAAAGGCAGTAAAAAGTATTGTACAAGGATTTATAAGCGTTTGTAGAAGAAATTAAAAAGTGTCTTTGTATAGATGTTGCGCAACTATATAAAATCCAAGAATTTCAGTTCACTGTGGCACTCTTATATAGCTTCAACGCACAGCATGCATCAACACTACAAATCAGTGCAGAAACTATATGGCGCAAAAATTAATTCCTGACAGAAATCTTATAAGATGCAAATGAACAAAAATACATGTCGTTTTTCACTTACTTCGATAAAATTAAGCAAGTGACCAGAAAAAGGGAAACGTTGACAGAGAAAAAGATCGTGGGGGAAAAATTTGAAAATCTGTAAAAAACGTATTTAGTGTTCGACTGGAAGTTACTGTTACTTTGTGACGTGTACATGAAAAGTAATATAATTTGTAGTTGTAATTTTCGGTGAGTCGTGAAGATATTAAAAAATAGTGAACGGTACCCCAAAGCGATAGGTGTCATGCAGTGAATGTGATGATGGCGAAAAGCAGAAAGGGAGAAGTAGATGTTAGGTGAGTTCAGTAGAATCTCTGAAAGAAAGAGAAGCGTTTGATAATACCGTGATTCGGTTTCTTATTTAAGCGGAATGTGTTGCAAAGTTTCGTGTATCATCTCTACGTTTGTGAATCTTCGTTAAACACCTGATTTCACCGTAAATTAAATGCTTACAAAGAAAGACGAAAATTTGAATACAACAGCGCCCAATCTTGAGCCAAAAAAATAAATTGCAGTCAGCATGTGATCGTTCAGAAACGTAGAGATAGCCGAACAGAGTCGAAAAATCATGATGTCGACCTGATTGCTGGGATCACGCTCAGGATTATCCGTTATGTTGGTGCTGAAGTCCCTTCCCGCCTTCAAGTTCTCGCACTCTTGTAGCCTGCTCAGTTCAAACTCCAACTCAATGATCTTTTGTTCCTTCATCAGGTTGATGTTTTCCAATTTGCGCTGCTTCTCCATGAAACCTTGGATAACTTTTACCGCCTTCTCATGGTTGTATTCCAATTTCTTTAACTTGAGCTCCGTGGTCTCAACGTGCTTTTGCATATTGCACAATTTCAACACCAACTGCTTCCTTGTCTCTTCTTGGTGTTTCAACTCACTGTCCTTGTCTTCCAGTTCCTATTGTAAAACACATCACGGTTAATTTGTATAAATTGATAATGGTTACCGGACATTTATACTTACAATTTCTAGTTCATTATCTGTTCGTAAGGAACGAGTTAAGATATCGTTGGGAATGAATATATGAGAGCGATTCTTAGAAAGGAAGGAGTTCAAGAACTTGTACGAACCTTGATCAAATCTCTTACGTCTCTGATCTCTTCGCCAAGTGCTTGCAACGGAATCTTTACTCTCGTTGACCTTTCTCTGTTCGGTTCCCAATCGAGACAAGTGTTTCCTCTCTTTGTTGTCCCTTGAGCGCAGGTTGCCTTCTGTTCCATTCTCGACTGCAACGGATCTTCAATTGGACTCATCGCCGACGGGCTGCTAGGTGGTGATCGTTTGGCATAACCGTTTTCGAACTGTAATAAAAATCAATTGAAGTCAATTTGTAAGAAAAATCAATAAACGTGGAGCAATTGCTTCTAAATATCATTTACTCGATTCTACACATCATACTGTATCAAGTTCGTCATATTTCATATTATTGTTCTAACTTTCCAGCTAAACATCTTACTTCTAACTATGGAAATTATCAGATTTCATGCCAATAATATTATTTATACTTATGGTATCAGTATCCTGTACCCAGGGCACAAAACTTATAAAGAAAATTATTCTATTTAATAAAGTATTTTTGAATGCAATAATTTGGTTAAAAATAGTTAAAATGGTTGCAACTTGAGAACACAATTAAAACGTTTATATGAATTTCTTTGTTGCATATACCAAATTTATTTCTAAAAATAATGGTCGCGTTTGAAACATCTTTCTGTGTACAATTGTTAACAGAATTGGAAGTATCACCTGAGAGAGCAAAGCACGATGTTTGTTGTTTAGGTCCGTGAGGGCATCGTCCCTGGTTTTTATAGACGCCCTCAACTGATCGACTTGTTTCTTTCTTTTCTCAGAAACCACGTTCAGCTCCTCGTACGCCCGACACTTCTCCTCCAGCTGGACATTTTTCTCCTTAATGACTCTTTCTTTCTCGAGCAGCTCGTTCCTGCACTGCTGAACGACGGTGTCCCTTTTCAGCAGCTGTTCCTCCAATTCCTTGACTTTTTCTCGCAGCCCCTCCATGTCTTGCAACCTCTCCGCGGCCGAATTCTCTCTTAAACGTGTCTCAGCCTCTAAACGTTCTCTGAACTCGTCCCTCTCGCTCTCGAGTTCTTGCGCCCAGACGCGTTCCTCTTCCAAGCTACCCGTCACCTGCTTCACCTGCGTTTTTATGTAAACAATTAGGTTACAGATTGAAGGAATGAATCTTTCAATCTACAATCTTTTATATACTTTAGAAATCTATGGGAAATTATTCGGTATTAGGTTATGGAACTTTTACATTTCTGGCTAGTGCTTTTGGAATCAAGTATTTTGCACAAATTAAGGAACAGTACAATTCATTGAAAAAACACTGCAATTCATTGTAAATTAGACATGATTGCATTAATCTTTTAAAATGATGACTTGTGAACATCACAAAATGAATCTTTCAATCTGCAATCTTGTATATAGTTATAGAAATCTATGGGAAATTATTCAGTATGAGGTTATGGAACTTTTATATTTCTGGCTAGTACTTTTAGGATCAAGTATTTTGCAGAATTTAATGAACAGTACAATTCATTGAAAAAACACTGCAATTCATTGTAAATTAGACATGATTGCATTAATCTTTTAAAATGATGACTTGTGAACATCACAAAATGAATCTTTCAATCTGCAATCTTGTATATAGTTATAGAAATCTATGGGAAATTATTCAGTATGAGGTTATGGAACTTTTACATTTCTGGCTAGTACTTTTAGGATCAAGTATTTTGCAGAATTTAATGAACAGTACAATTATTGAAAGAACACTGTAATTCATTGTAAATTAGACATGATTGCATTAATCTTTTAAAATGATGACTTGTAAACATCACAAAATGGATCTTTCAATCTGCAATCTTGTATATACTTTAGAAATCTATGGGAAATTATTCAGCATGAGGTTATGGAACTTTTACATTTCTGGCTAGTACTTTTAGGATCAAGTATTTTGCAGAATTTAATGAACAGTACAATTCATTGTAAATTAGACATGATTGCATTAATCTTTTAAAATGATGACTTGTAAACATCACAAAATGGATCTTTCAATCTGCAATCTTGTATATACTTTAGAAATCTATGGGAAATTATTCAGCATGAGGTTATGGAACTTTTACATTTCTGGCTAGTACTTTTAGGATCAAGTATTTTGCAGAATTTAATGAACAGTACAATTCATTGTAAATTAGACATGATTGCATTAATCTTTTAAAATGATGACTTGTAAACATCACAAAATGGATCTTTCAATCTGCAATCTTGTATATACTTTAGAAATCTATGGGAAATTATTCAGCATGAGGTTATGGAACTTTTACATTTCTGGCTAGTACTTTTAGGATCAAGTATTTTGCAGAATTTAATGAACAGTACAATTATTGAAAGAACACTGTAATTCATTGTAAATTAGACATGATTGCATTAATCTTTTAAAATGATGACTTGTAAACATCACAAAATGGATCTTTCAATCTGCAATCTTGTATATACTTTAGAAATCTATGGGAAATTATTCAGCATGAGGTTATGGAACTTTTACATTTCTGGCTAGTACTTTTAGGATCAAGTATTTTGCAGAATTTAATGAACAGTACAATTATTGAAAGAACACTGTAATTCATTGTAAATTAGACATGATTGCATTAATCTTTTAAAATGATGACTTGTAAACATTAAATAATACATTTCAGGATATTACAGTTACTATTTGTGTATATAAAAATAAATTATTACAAATCTTAGGCACGATTTGGGTTGATATTTATTTTTGAGAATTGATATGCTAGTCTACCAAGTAAAAAGAGCGTGTTAACCCCTGTCCATAGGGGTGGTCCCAGTAAGAGGGCGACATATGATACATACAGAGTCAGTCCCAAAATAGTAACACTGCACAGGGTGTCTATAAATATGTACCATTTGAAATAATTACTGAACGATAGGAGTTATGAGAAAAAACATACTGTTTCTTTTATCACTTTTTATACAGGAAATTATTGGAAATTCTTGCTTCGTGCTGTTCAATTCTAAATAAAAAAAGGATGTAGAAAACTACTAATAATTTGCCTATTAATATGACAAAATGTTAACAGCGCGACCTCACCCACAACTAGAAACATACTGATTAATTTATTTCCCCCGTTTTTTTTTTTTTTTATAACGATAATACGCTTATCAAGTATGAGTCTTTTCTCGCGGTTGCTGGAGGAAGTGAACAAAGATAGTGTTGAAATTGTGTAAATGCAAATATGTATTCGCGAAGAGGAAAATAAGTAGGACAGTCTGCGAAATGCTTATCGAGTTTTGCGTTGATAAACAGTTCTAGTATGCTAGAACATTTTCAGTCTTAATTTCTTTCCAAATATTTACAAACATATGTAAAAATTTATAGATATTCTACATTAAATAGTATAACTAGCTATTATTTATTTCCACTGTAATTGTTCATTTCCACTTAATCTTGCAATTCTCTATCTTGGAACCCAAGTGAGACATTTTACGATTGACAAATAATAAATTTATGGTTTATTACAGTGTTATGGTTGTGAAATTAAATTATCACCGACGATATCCACTATCTTTCCTTTCGCGATCAAAGCGAGCCGAACCAAACACAAAGGGTCAATGAACATGCTTTGTATGAACCATCTATGCTCGCAATATGCATTATCGCCTTAACGTTCAGATAGTTTTCAGATTTACAATGTTTTTGGTGTCTTGTAGATGTCGTAACATATCTCATGCATTTCTATTGTGTATTTTATGGAAATGTAGATTCAGGTATAGGCTGCAACTTTAAAGAGGTAGTAATTTCAATTAACAAATTCTAAACAAGAAATTTTCTTAAGAAATACTTTGGGATATAGCATTTTAAGGTTTTATGGTCCATGTCTTCCTACTCTTTCCTTTCATCCGCCATTTTAGTATGTGTATTTTATGCAGACCTAGATCATTTAGGTATAGACAGTAGCTTTCAAGGGGTGGCGATTTTAATTAAACAATTTTAAACAAGAAATGAGAAATTTTTTTAACAAATTTATTATTTTTAAATCCGCCATTTTAGTATGTGTATTTTATACAGACGTAGATCGTTTAGGTATAGACAGTAGCTTTCAAGGGGTGGCGATTTTAATTAAACAATTTTAAACAAGAAATGAGAAATTTTTTTAACAAATTTATTTTTAAATCCGCCATTTTAGTATGTATATTCTATGCAGACGTAAATCGTATAGTTTTCAAGGGCTATCGATTTTAATTATACAATTTTATAAAGAAATAAGAAATTTTCGCAAATAATACTTTTGGATCTAACATTTTACGTTTTTATAATCCTCCTTATCTTTTTTCCTTCATCCGCCATTTTACCATCGTGAATGACCATAGGTTTCCACATTATTATTTCTTATTTAATATAACAATAATCGTAGCTAACATTTCCATAAATTGACTACTTACTTTTATTAAATAATAACAACTTCTTCAACCGGGAATTTAAAAATATAGTTACCAATAGGATTGCAGTAAAATTACTGAAATTCTCAAATTTTAAGCCAATTATAGTACCCTTTCCCATTGTCCTATGGACTTCCCCATTTGCAGGAATTATTTTTTAATTAAGCATAAAAATTTCGATATTAAAAAATAAGGTCCAGCCAGGTAAACACATAAAGAGCAAGCAAACAAAATTTTAGTATTCCTTTTGTCCTCTTACCTCCGCCTCCAGGGATGCAACAAGTTCTTCCATTTGGCGCAACTTTTCCTCGTTCTCCAGTGCGTTTTCTGGCGTGATGCCGAAGGCTTCCTTATAGTAGATGGATGCATCTGGTACCTTTTCCTGGTATTCTGCTAATTCTGTCGCAAACAGAGAGCAACACAACGTTTCATTGCACCGAGAATAAATCAGGAGCATTACGAAAAGCAACGGGGATAAATCAAAGGAGGAATTTAGTGACGACTTTAGTTACGATCCACGGTTATCAGACTGTCGGTAACACCCTGTAACGTTCTTACGAGCCTCTGTGGAATGTCTCGTTCCTCTTTACATCGTCTATTCGTTAATTCGTTTAAAATTTATTCTCGATTTTGTTCTTTCGACGCTTTTTAAACCTAATACTGGTCCTTTTGTTGCTGACCTTGCTCAAGCTTTCTGATCTTCTCCCGTTCATTTTCTAGCGACTGTTGGTAGTGCGTTTGGTCCCGCAAGGACACTGCTTTTTGCTCTTCGATCATCTCGAACGCCTTAGCTGCTTGCCTAAGATATTCCTGCTTCTCGACCAATTCTTTCTTCAGTGTTTCGATTTCAACCTAATGGCAGACATAAAAAGAACTAATTGCAGCGACGATGAGGGAAACAATGAAAACAATCTAGACTCGTGTATCCGTGATTCCGTAAAGCTAGAGACTTCTACGAGTACAAGATTGCATACTGTACTTAGATATTATTGTATACAGGGTGTCCAAAATGTTTAGGACCAAACTTATACTACGTGTCAGTGAGGTCAAATAAATGGAAAAAGTTCGAATAAACTTATGTCTAAAAATGATTTATTGATAAGACATGGCAGGAATTTTCAAATATCTTTTCAATACAGCATTTTTGGACCAAAGTTTATATGAATATTTTTTATGTATTTGACACGAGTAATACATAGTGTAAGTTTGGTCCCATCCTTTTTGTACACCCTGTATATCAATTTTACGTATCTTGAACTTGTCATAAAGAAAAGTTTGAAAAATTAGGGAACCTTCAGTTCGATGTTCTTTTTTATGGCATTCTTGTCCGCCGGTGTGATGCCCATTCGTTCCTCGAGAAAATAAATTCGCAGTTTTAAGTTGAAGTTCTCCTTTTTTAGAGTCTCCAACTCATCCTCGTAAACTTTCATCGTTCTGCCGACTCCCGCCCCCTCCCTGGTTCCGATCACCCCCATCGGGGAGAGTTTTTCAGGCGTTCTTGCATTCGTACCTGAAACACCAAAATGAATATTCTTATTAAGAGAAAATTAAGATTAAGAAACTAAAAACTTGCAAATTCTTGTATTTTTCTCAACAAAAGTTGAAGATAAATACAGAAATTATAAGTGGACTACTTTATGCAAATTCATATTTTTATTAAAAGAATTAATGATGAAATGGGAACTCTGTAGAGGGTTGTCTGAACCCCTAAATTTAATAATTTGTATCTTAGTTTAACTATTTCTTACATTTTTGCATGTTAAGTGCATTTTATAAAATTTATTATTTATTTTACAAATTGTATTCTCAATTTTGAGGTTAGTTTAACTATTTCTTACATTGTTGAATGTTAAGTGGATTCTATAAAATTTATTATTTATTTTAGAAATTGTTATTCTCAATTTTGGGTTTAGTTTAACTATTTCTTACATTTTAGCATGTTAAGTACATTTTATAAAATTTATTATTTATTTTACAAATTGTATTCTCAATTTTGAGGTTAGATTAACTATTTCTTACATTTTTACATGTTAAGTGGATTCTATAAAATTTATTATTTATTTTAGAAATTGTATTCTCAATTTTGAGGTTGGTTTAACTATTTCTTACATTTTTACATGTTAAGTGGATTCTATAAAATTTATTCTTTATTTTAGAAATTCTATTCTCAATTTTGAGGTTAGTTTAACTATTTTTTACATTTTTGCATGTTAAGTGGATTCTATAAAATTTATTCTTTATTTTAGAAATTCTATTCTCAATTTAGAGGTCAGTTTAACTATTTCTTACATTTTTACATGTTAAGTGGATTCTATAAAATTTATTATTTATTTTAGAAATTGTATTCTCAATTTTGAGGTTAGTTTAACTATTTTTTACATTTTTGCATGTTAAGTGGATTCTATAAAATTTATTACTTATTTTAGAAATTGTATTCTCAATTTTGAGGTTAGTTTAACTATTTCTTACATTGTTGAATGTTAAGTGGATTCTATAAAATTTATTATTTATTTTAGAAATTGTATTCTCAATTTTGAGGTTATTACATTTCAATGAATTAAATTGACAACAACCTTTTTGCATAGAATTTAATATTGATTTATATTAATTGAAGAATACTGAATAATCTTAGATGCAATTATAATAAAATCAATATGTCACTGATGGGTAGATCTTTATGCAAATTCATGTGTTTATTAATAGAATTAATGAAATTGGAGCTTTGTAGTGGGTTGTCTTATCCTCAAATATAATAATTCGTATCTTACTTTAACTATTTCTTACATTTATTTAAGAAATTGTATTCTAAATTTTGAGGTTATTACATTTTAATGAATGAAATTGAAAACAATCTCTTTGAATAGAATTTAAAATTGATTTAAATTAAGTAATGAATATTAAATAATCTTAGATGCAATTACAATAATAAAATTCATACTTTTGTTAATAAATTAACAAAGATTAAATTCTGAGGTTATTACATATTAATGAATTAAATTAAAAGCAATTGTTTTGAATAAAATTTAAAATTGATTTAAATTAATCAATCTTAGATGCAATTACAATAATAAAATTCATATTTTTCTTAATAAATTAACAAAGATTAAATTCTGAGGTTATTACATATTAATGAATTAAATTAAAAGCATTTGTTTTGAATAAAATTTAAAATTGATTTAAATTAATCAATCTTAGATGCAATTACAATAATAAAATGCATATTTTTGTTAATAAATTAACAAAGATTAAATTCTGAGGTTATTACATATTAATGAATTTAATTAGAAGCAAATTTTTTGAATAGAATTTAAAATTTGTTTTAAATTAAATAATCTTTGATGCAATTACAATAATAAAATTCATATTTTTGTTAATAAATTAACAAAGATTAAATTTTGAGGTTATTACATATTGATGAATTAAATTAGAAGCAATTCTTTGAATAAAATTTAAAATTGATTTAAATTAAACAATCTTACATGCAATTGCAATAATAAAATTCATATTTTTGATAATATAAGTAATGGAATTGGATGTTTCTAGAGGGTTGCCTTCATCCCCCAAATATAATAATTCGTAACTATTTATCTTAATTTAACTATTTCCTATATTTTTGCATATTAAGTGCATTCTATAGTTTATTTGAGAACAAAAATTTCTCATAAATTCATAAACATCCACAATCTAATTATAAACAATTATAGTTTACGTATCTTATTAAATTATATGCATATTTAATTCTATAGTTTTTTTTCTGTATCAATGATTTCACCAATATTCTGAAGTTGCCGATATTATAACAAATACCCGAGACATTTAAAATAATGTCTACGTAAAACTAAAAAGTTATTTGCTCGTTCCAATTAAATTATTTTTCACATATGTTCTTACTTCCCATAATTAGGACAGATGGCGTTAACCTAATACCGTGCAGTATTTCATCAGTACAACAGAGCTTCCTTTAAGTCATCTCTAAATCAGAGAATTTTTACGAGTTCCGAATATTCTGCCGCCTGAAATTTTTCTCGTTGCCTCAATCTTCAATGAATCGATCCGATCGCAGAAACAAGAACCACGATTAACCAACTGTGCCCGTAACATTTACGTGTTGAGACATGAAAACCCAAATTTTGCGCGATCACGTTTACCGCTGTGACAGTTCGAGGCTCCCTAACCCGTACTCTGTCGAGTTGCCAAAAAATCGTGGATAAAAGACGAGCGTGTTCGAGATCGAGGTGGATTACGAATTTTCAGAGCCTCGGTTCGATCTGTTTAAGATCGAAAATTTTATTCAAACTTTTCGCCTCTGATCGTAGAACAAGACGAAGTAAATTTATTCAGAAAGATGTTTATTTGAATAGATGGGGAAAAAACCGATTAAACCTACGATCTAATCTAATCAAATAACATTGTCAAATACGTTTCAAAGCGGCCACATATTGCACTACTCAAAACAGTTGGATGATCGTCTAATCAAACGTCTTCGTGGCTCTGTTAAGTCTCCAATGCTCCGAAAGCTGCTTGTATGTTCTAGTCATCCGCTAGAACGTATTACTGCATCAAGTACACGCTATTCGTTCTGCTTCTAACGTTTGGCGTATGCTCTAGGATCATACAGAGCCAGGATACTTCCAACGACACGTTTATTTACAAGAGGTCTAACGAAGAACATCGTCCAATCGACGATCTATGATTTTTATAAAACTTTGTAACGTAACATCGACAATCGCAGTCCAAACCCCTCAAATTATCCACGAAAACTTTAAGATTCAAAAATTCTATTCGGATCAATTTTCTTTAACACCCAATCTTGAGGATTAATTTGTTTGGCTCCTCGGTGAGAAATCATGTCACCCAGTGTGTTAAGTATCCAAGTAGATACCTACTTTTGTTAAATTAATAAATCAGTATGAAAATTGTTGGGTTAAGGTAATGAAACTGAATGATTTAAGCACACAAAGTAAACTTATTTATTAAGGGGCCATTCTACCTTGTAGGCATGAAAAATACGTGTTTCTTTGTGATTTTTTTTTGCGGGTTATTAAAGAGCGATTAATTCCGGATTTTGTAGATACATTTATTATATATTTAGCTATATTTACGAATTTTTGCAACGCATAATGTCTATTGATTACGCTGTTTTTGTTGATCATCAAACAACAGTTTTTACGAACGGCACCCGACTGCGTACGTGATATCTTGCGAACAAGTTATTCGAAATCCTAAAACCAACGATATTCTTAATATAGATGAGTGTGGTTATAGCATGAACTAGGATCTTTTCAAAAAAACAAAAAATGGCAAAATGACAGCTATTTTACGAAAAAATACTGAATATTTTCATATATTTGGTTGCTTTTTTGTTAATAAAAGAAAAAGTATTGCATATATCGCAATTATCCTAGTTCATGCTATAGGGAGACCAGTTCTGAAGATACTGTATAAATTTGATGTTGATATCTTGAATAGTTTTTTAGTTATCACGCACGCAGTGCCGAAAAATGTAGTTTCGAGAAAAACAGCTTTAAAGTTTCACGTCCAGTTGTTATACCTGCGCGCGGTACATTTCAACAGGCTATAACTTCGTTAGTTTTCAGAATTTCAATTTAATATTTGGTAGACATATTTTCGAGACTACATACTAAAGGAAAATGCAAAAAAAAAATATCGATTTTTTTAATCCCACAAGGTAGAAAGGCCCCTTAAACTTGAAAGAGGCATAACGAAACCATGTGATCGCACAATAAACGATACGTACTATGTACATAGTACCACAGACGAGGTATATGAATATTCTGGGGTCCCGGGACCCCATTACCATTTTCGTGTCACTCGCAACGTTATCAACAGATTCAGAAATTAACACAAGAGGAAGTGAGACAGAAAATAAAATTGCATAAATTTTATTATTTTTTAACGGAATTAAAGCTGTAGGGTCTATCATTGGACATTAATCGATTAATTTCATTGGAGAAATCAATCGATTAAGAGTATTTAAAAATTTCAAGATTAACTGCTAATATCCTTTCGCGCGTTTATTGTAAGTGAAAATGTCGACTTTGGTCATTTATTAGTGCCATCACTCGAATTTTCAAATATTTTCAAAATTATTAATGCTGTATTTGATCACTTTTATCCGGCCTTGCGCAGCGAAACATTCATTTTGGATAAACTATTTCGGATTATATCTGATGCTGTACATAAAAAATATCCGAAGTGGTTTATAGAAACTGAATGTGCTATACAGTCTTTTTCATAAGAGCGTTGGAGCTATATCTAAACAAGTCCAGTGAAAACTCGATAAATGTCGCTACTCCGGGGTCCGGTCAGCAACACTTACGGAATAGGAGAATCGTCTTTCGAATTTGATTGTAGTTTGCCGACGCTTCGAACGTAGAAAGAGTCAGTAGCTAAAGAAGAAAGAGGGACTGAAACTCGGATTTATCGCCCCAGTTTAAATATCCGCGTCAGTGTGACCACATTACTGCACAGAAGAAAGTTTTTTATTTT